ACTGTCCCATTCTGGTGTCAGAAATCTGTGAAATATACTGAAAAAATAAGATTGCTACAAAGAAAATCCACAAAAATGTCTGAAGGACTGGAGAAACACATCTTCCAGTGAGACCACCAAGGAGCTCAAGCTGTCTCTAATGGCCAAGAGAAGGCTCAGTGCCATGACAGTCTCAGTGTAACTATCAGGGCAGAAATACAGCGGCAGAAGCTCTTTAAACTTGCAAAGGTAAGATTCAGGGTCTGTTAATGAAACTAGACAAATTCAAAGGCTGATATTTTAACTGTCGGAACAGCTTGTCAAGAGCTGTGGTGAATTCTCCTGTAGTAGAAATTTTTAAATGAGATGTGAATGCTTTCCTGAAAGAAATGCTCTTGCTCAATAATTCGGCAATTTTTTGGAACTGTATCTCTACCCTGTGTCATACCAACTGATCACAGCAGTCCCTCTTGGGTTTGCAAGTATGAATAACAAAAGGGGTGTTTTGTAGTTTTTTTGCAAAACATATTTAGATTTCTGTGACAAGTCAGCGCTTCTGGAGGTCTCCACACAGTTACAAAGATCATAAAATGTCATTGACATAATTGGCTTCTTGGTAAGTTTTGATATGTAATATATTTTGAATGTTTAACTTCTTGTGAAGGTTCTGGTAATTACTTTTTCCTGTCATCAGGTATAACAGGAATCTCCTCAAAAGTTAAAGCATTTTGTTGCCATTCTCATGCAGGGACTATTTGCCACTCAAGTTGCCAACGTGTCTGGAACAAAGAAGATAAATATCACTGGGTCCACGATGAGCATGAAGTAGAGAACAAGACAGCCCTACAGCAGAGCTGCTGCCTGGCTGTGTGGAGCAGTGACCCCTTTCCTGGCCCTCACCCCTTCAACCACCAAACACCACGCAGCTGCCGATGTGGCAGAGAAAGGTGAGTGTGATATCCGGGCACGCCAGTCACCCCTGAGGTTTGGGGTAATGTGACGGAGGTGGATATAGGAATAGTCAGACGTCAGTTCTCAGCACCATGATGCAAGCAAGAATGCAACCTCCCTGGGATGCCGCCGAGCGCAGGGTGCCACCAGGATCCCTGCCCTGGGCTGCGAGGTGGCTTCGTGGCTTCCCCGCTCCCAGATCTGTAGGTACGGGTGGCTGCAGCCCAGACAGCGGCATGTAGAGACCTGAGCTGGGAGACTTCTCACTGTGGTCACTGCAACTGTACAAAGTGCAAATGCTGCCGTGGAGGATTATGAAATTAAGGCAAGGTGAGCACCTTGAGCTCAGAGAGAAGGAGACTCCCAGGGCTTTCTCAGGTGAAGAGCATTTCCATCACAAGGGGGAAACAGAGCTGCCAGAGGATGTGTGGACAAAATTGGGGTCTCTCTCAGAGGACTAAAAAACTATAGGGATTAAAACTAGAACGGATGCAGAATGCTGCCTGTATAAGCCCTAGTAATGCTCCCAGGTCGTGCCCCCACTGTGGCAGGCACTGCCCCATGACCACTGAAGAGCCATCCTATAAGCACCTCACAGAAAAAAAAACAAGTAGCAGAGTATTCTGGTGTCCTCTCCTGTTTGCAGTCACTCAATAAACTGAGCAAGTCCTGTGAATTTTGGGGAGACACCACCGTTCCAAATAGCAAGGCTGGAGGTCCCCAAATACTCCTGTGCACTGTCCTGGCTGCTGCACTTTGGGCACGGTGAAAGCCACAAAGGAGGGGAGGAAAGTGCCCTTCCCTGAGAGCAACACGGTCAGCTGGAGAAGCCGTGAGAGTGCAGAGACAGAGAGAGGGGCATGGCTAGCAGGAGCAGAGCCTGGGAGCTATTCTGAGCAGTTCAGGGTCTGAGACAGATGCGGAGGCTTTTTCTAGCAACCCAGAGAGGATTGTGTAGACCTTGTAGGAACTAGACAGTCTCTAAAGATTGTTTCAGAATTGCATCACAGAGAAAGACCCAAGTGGAAACGATCCTTAAGTAAAGAGTTGTAGGTGATTCTTCTTGGTTCGTTGAACTTTGCTCAAGAGATTGCTGAACTTGTAATTTGCACTTAAATATAACGGAGCTTCAGGGATTTACCAAAACCATTTTGGGGTGCTGTTTGCAAAGAAGAGGTATGGTAGATCCATTGGCCCCGAACAACCCAGTTTCCTTTTCTGCCCTGTCCACTCCTCCTTGGTTCATACTGCTTCAACTGTGCCTCCTGAACACTCGTGAGCAGCCCTACCTCCAATTCTGGTACGCCACCGGAGTCTAGCACTTGCGGGATACAATAAAATCTTCTGATTACCTTGCTGATAGCTCAGGAGGACTAGTCTCTTTCCTCCCACCTTTTTGTTCCCCATCCCCCGTATAAACACACATATGTAGGGGGGATAATCGGGATGCGCAGAAATTAAACAGGTTGCTGACCTTGTACAAACTCCTGCTGACGCAGGGATTATTTGATGCATGAAGGATCTCCCTCTTAGATGGAAAAGTGCTGTGAAATACAACCTAATTCTCATTTGTGTTATACCTACTGATCAAACAAGGACTGCAAAGCACTGCAGAGCTGGGTGTTCTGGGATACTGCTGAAACTCACACCTGGAAGGTTGCTCACATCAGGAAGGCGGCTCAATATTTTACCCCTTCTCTTCTTTGGCCCTACTTTTAGTCCTGGTGTCCCCCCAGATAGAGCTCCTAGTTGACTTTTCATCTTCAGGAGTGATTAGATTCCATGCTGTCTGCCAAGTGAGATATTTACTTAACAGGACATCTGTGATCTCTGAGTAACCAGTACCAAAACTGTCATGAGAAATGTCCTCTCAGTTGCGAGCTGCCTTCTCCAGATCCTGTCTTCATCCATAGGTGATGGTGGATGAAGTTCCTTTCAGTCCTGCCATGGTTTCCCGCTGTAGATGTTGGTCCTGATGCCTTCTCCAAGCAGTAATAACGCCGTTTTGGGATATTTTCCCTCTATAACAGGAGTCCAGATCACAGATTTGTAATGCTTGTTTGGTAGACCATGATACTATGCTAGTTTTCCAGTCACCCATAAAAGGCCTCTAAAATTCTAGTTTAAAAATCATTTTTTAAACCCAGATAAAATATAGAAATTTCAATAGAAATTCAGAGGAAGCAAAAAGGAAAGCAACACAGTTCTCTGCTCTTTGAAAGGGTGTTGATCAGTTTTTCTCACCACCTGATTATGCTTTCCGGAGAATGAATCTGAGAAAGCTGAGATAAAAAGCATGGCAATTACTGGATCTATATATATGCATATGTACATATATAAAACTTTACACAATAATTTTGAAGATACAAGCAATGTTCCTCTCGTTTTCCTTCCATGGGCAAAGTCTGAAGGGAAAACTGTTATGAGCCATTGCCAAGTTGGTAAAGACAAAAGAACACTTCTTTAATGGGATGTGTTTTTAGATCAAGCAGCTGGAGGTACTGTACTTTATGGCAGAGAGGAAACAAATTTTTTAGTAATACATAAAAGAAAATAATATAGTACACAAACTACACAGTGTTTCATTATTTCTTAATCTGTTTCATGTGATCATAGAGGTTTAGACGCTAGAAAAGGAGAAGGCGTTTGAGAAACTCTGATTTACAATGTCTGGAATTAACATGTAGCTGAAAAGCAATGGAAAAAAAACATCTTGGGAAATGCCAAGAGTCTGTTTGCCTATCTGAAGCAGATACTTCCTGGTTTGCAGCATCTAAGGGGAGTTTCAAACCATGAAGCAACAATTTGAAGATGATTGTTAAGTCTTCAAGAGCTTTTTTATGTGTGGATGGACCTTCTTTTGTGTACACTTACCAGACAATTGTATTTTTGTATTACAAATTTATTATATACTTCTTTGTGTATTATACTTCTCTGTGTATTATATACATCTTTTTTTCTTAGTGAATCACCTGCAGCTACACATTTGAGCCGTGTTTTGAAAAAGTAGCTATTTATATATTCATAAAATATACTTGCACATTAAATGTTCATGTCAAGCTGGCAATAAAAATAGAGTAACAGGATGTTTTATTTAGGATTTAAAAGGAGATTACGAAACCACTGTTATGTAAAATATTTGCATGAATTCTTAATTTCAAATTGTCTGAGGGCTAAATTTAATATTTTGGGTGATGCACAGATTCCTACTGACTTTTTTGCAAGTGATGTGTATGACAAATTTGCCCCTATATTAGCACTGTAGTTCAGATGAGGAGCAAGCTTTTGATGTCAACCTCCTGACTGTCTCCATTTACTGCACTTGGGTCTGGGAGCATGGGAAGTGAATTTCTTTCACATGAGCTAAACTAGAGTAGGTTCTCCAGGGCAGCATGCAATGCACTCCAGCCATCAAGGAGCATTCAGGCTATATGGAAGTAAATTGTCCATAAAGTGTATGGGGTGGGTGTTGGCTCTTCAGCATCCAGCCTTTCACTTTGCAGTTCGGTCCTATTGCCCTGCGTTACTTTCTAAGGTAGACATTGACTTCAAGCACAAATTTAGCCCAGTAGTTGGGCTAAATAGCCTGAAAATTGTTTGAAGTTTTCCCTAAAGATTGATAGAACTGGTGGGGGGACAGAAAGAAATCAGAAAAAAATATTTACAGAGAAGTTTGGGCTTTTTGCTTTTGTTCGAGCTCATCCTTACACATCAGAGAGGAGGGGTATGATGAACATGCTGTGCCCTTTTCCCATCTGAAACCTCATTCGTAACAGGAATTTGAAAAGCTTCCAGACTAATTGCTGGAGTGACGCTGTGAACTCAGCAGTCCCAACAGAGTGTTAAAATATTCCTAGAGCTTCTCTTTCTGCTTTATTAGTTTAGCCTGCTACTGCTAATTTTTCTGGGACAGTGAATCAACTTTTATGATTCCTAATGTTACAGCTATAGTACTGTTATAGTATTTTGTTTTGAAGTGCAAAGGTCAAATCAGCCATTACTGAAATACTGCTTTATGAAGGGCATCCTTTTAAACATGACTTCAATTTTTGTTTTAACGATACTCACAGGTTTGGCAAATATACTCTACTATAGACATTACAGGTACTGGTGACAGTAGTTTTATTAACCTACTTCAGATATGCTTTAATAGCCTTTTGTTTTGCTGTGTTCAGCTTCCAAGCAGAGCAGTTTATCTCTCACTTTTGTCTACTTTGCTGTTCTTCCTTTTACTGCTCCAGATCACACCCTTTAATTGTAAATCTTGTGAGGCAGGACAACTGTTGATTATTTGGCTCTGTGTTCTTAA